CATACCACTTCTACTGGTTGTTGTACAAAATATTGGCACAAAGTTGGGCTATTCAACATTCCCTGTGGGAGAACCCTCCATTGAAATCTTTTAACCGGTTGAGAATTATTATAAGTAGTCACTGTGAAACATATCTTTGTCTGTCTTTTTCTTGTAAGGATATTGAAAAGAAACAATCTTTTAAATCATTAACTATGAGAGGCCATCCTTTTGGTAACAGAGTAGGCAAAGGAATTCCAGATTGTAAAGAGCCCATTGGCTGAATTGCTTTGCTAATTGCTCTAAGGTCTGTTACCATTCTCCATTTGCCAGATTTCTTTTTAATAACAAATACAGGAGAATTCCCAAGGCTGGTTGATTCTTCAATATGATGAGCATTTAACTGTTCTTCCATCAGCTCTTCTAAAGCCTGAAGTTTTTCTGTTGTTAAAGGCCATTGCTGAACCCATACAGGCTTGTCTGTTGACCATTTTAAAGATAGAATTGTTGTTGTTTTTGGAAGATTATCAGTTGTTGTGCCCTGTTCTTGTATGACATGGATGGCTGGTGAGCACTCATTAGAATAATATCTTCTAATATTTCTCTCAGAAATATTTTTTGATTTGTTTCTGAGATTGGAGGGATATTAATCTGAGTATTCCATTGTTGTAACAAGTCTCGACCCCACAGATTCATAGCTATGTTAGCCATATATGGTTTTAATTTTCCTTTCTGTCCTTCTGGACCTATACATTCAAGCCATCTTGCACTTTGTTTCACATGAGATAATGTCCCAATTCCTAACAGTTGAACATTTACCTCCTGAAGAGGCCAAGTTGGATGCCAAAATTCTGGTACAATTATGGTAATGTCAGCACCTGTGTCTACCAGACCAGACAACAAAACACCATTTATTTTTATTATTAGTTTTGGTCTTTGTTCATTAATAGAAGTTTGCAAAAAATTTTCTTTATGTTTTTTCCTGAATATCCTATTTTCTCTGTTTCATCATCTCGACCAACATGATTTATTCCAATAGACATTTGGTTATTTAGTTGCTTTGAGTAGGGGTTTCCTCTACAACTGCAGGAAAGGTTTGAACTGGATTTACTGTGGGGGCCTGCCTGAGGCCCCTCTGGGAGTTTTCCGAAGCTCGAGGCAAAGGATTTCCCTGTCTGTCCCTTGCTGATCTACATTTGTTGGTCCAGTGTTTTCCCTTACCACACCTTCTGCATACTCCAGAAGGAAGGGGCATTCTGTTGCCAGTGTTCCTTGAAGAAACATTATTTCTAGGAATGACCTGTTTACAATCCCTTTTCAAATGTCCTTGCTATCCACATCCAAAACATCTAACATTTCTCAAACCTTTTGAAATTGCTTTTCCTACCCACATATCATCATGGTCATAAGCCTCAACATTAACTGTGTCTCTAATCCAATCTTCCCAAGGTGCAGATCTTGCCTTTAATGGCCTGATTATTCTTTTGCATGCTGCATTTGCATTCTCAAAGGCCAAAGATTCAATTATTATCTGACTAGCCTCTGAATTCGGGACCATTTTTTGTACTGCTGAAGTCAATCTTTGTAAGAAATCTGTGAAAGATTCTTTTGGGCCCTGTATAACCTTTGTAAATGACTCAGTTTTTTTCTCCTGGTTCTTCAACTCTGTCCCATGCATTCAAAGCTGCCGTTCAACATAGAACTAAGGTTTGGACATCATATGGACATTGTGTTTGTACTGAAGCATATTGGCCTTCTCCAATAAGCTGATCCTGGCAGACTTGTATTCCGTTATCCCTCCATTGTTTTTCTATATTTTTAGCCTCATTATTGAACCACATTTCCACTGGAGATTTTGTCTGGGTTCAAGAACAGCCTGTGCCAAATCCTGCCAGTCCTTTGTTAGAATCCTATTACAAGTTGACTAGTTGTTTAACATTTGCTTTACATATGGGGAGTGCATGCCATAAGATGCTATTGTCTCCTTAAATCCTCATAAGTCTAACATTTTAACTGGAACCCAAGTATTTTGTTCATTCTCTTCATCAGGTAGCTCCTGCATGGCTATCGGATAAATTAAGGGTGACTGTGTGAAAACTGGCTTTCTTTCTATAACCTTATGATCCAATTTTGAAACAACTTTACAGTTTATTTCTTCTGTCTGAATTTGAATTTCTCTATAATTCTTTTTTACCAGTTTAACAAGTTTTTCTAAGACTATTATCCTGGCACTTAAATTGACTATCTCTTGAAAAAGTAAAATGAGGATAAGAAAAGTAATAAACTGAATAATTTGATCAATATTAATCTTTTCATATAGTTGTTCCATTGTCAGAGTGCCTAAAATTTCAAACAAAGCCCAATTTTCTTCCAATGTACACATAAAGCCCATTTTTTTAATGTAGAAAAAATTCTCTTTTAAATAGATATGTTAATTGACTTACCAAGTCTGCGTAGAACAGTAGAATCCCAGGGAATTTCAAAACAGCCACCTGGTGTTCAAGGTGTGAATCCAGAGAGAAAGAGAGAGGAAGAGAGAGAGAGAGAGAGAGAGAGAGAGAGAGAGAGAGAGAAATATATATAGAGAGAAAGCATAGCTGCTTGAGCCGAGTCAAGCCTTGGCTTTACAGGCAGGGGCCCTGTTCGGCAGGGCAGGCCTGAGTTGTTTGTAGCAGTTGCAAGTAGCTCAAGCTGTGGGTCAGTCAGGCCTGGACCCGAGCTAGGCAGACGGGCCACCCAGGCTGGAAACCGGTCCTGCAGCCAAGCCAAGCCAAGTGGTTTTTAATGGATTTTTGTCACATTGGGCTCCAAATGTAGATGTAACCAACCTTCTTATTAAATAAGAAACACAGAACCAATGCAAAGAAGAAAGCCAAGAGGTCAGAGCTAAGAGCTAAAACCTTACCCTTCCTCCTGCAGTGATCCTACCTCTCCGAACCAGCACTACCCCTGTGTTAAAGTCTTTATATAGAGTTCCTGTCCTGCCTTCTCATTGGTTGTAAACCCAACCACATGACCGCCTCCTCACAGCCTGTCTGTATAGGCCTCCAGGTTTTCCATGATTGATATTGAGATTAAAGGCATGTGTATCCAATTCTGGCTGTATCCCTGAACACACAGAGACTTACCTAGCTTTGCCTACCAAGCGTAGGCAGATTACACGTGTATGCCACCACTGCCCTGCTTTCCTATGGCTTGCTGATAGCTCTGATCCCCAGGCAACTTTATTTATTAACATACAAATAACATTTTAATACAAATAAAATATCACCATATACACACATGAGGTATTTAATTTTATTTTATATTCTTTATTAAGTATTTTAACATTAACATTGTTAAAATGTTTTCACAAAACAAAAAATGTTGAGAGTACATCATCTACACTTAGAATTGTACTTAGGAGACCGATACATGAGGAATAGGAGTTGAAATATCAACCAGACTAATTACTGATGTCTAAGGTAGGCAGGATAACAAACAGCATTTCCAGGGAATTTATTTAAAAATATGGAAAATAAAATCAGGAACAAAAATCAACCACCCTTGCATAGATACCCTTACTTGAAAATTACAGTCATTTGCTGCATGATATTTAAATACAAATAGGCCAAATAGATGATGGCCATTATTATATACATTGCAGCAGAAAAATACTTCTCATGAAGTGAAGCACAATAGAACATGAACAAAAGCCACTAGGAGTATAAGGACCACATAATAAACTTCACTAAATGGATTTGCCATACATATAGTCAATTCTATATATACCTCAAATGTTGCAAAATAGAAGCCATAATGTGATCTTCTTATCAGTCTTTAGTGAACATGTATAATAATTTACTTACTGCAAGGAAAAAGGGACATTGCAAGTTTCTTTTTCTTGAAACTGAAGACAACTGTGATGTCTAAAGTTTTACCAAATGTTTACATGAAGATGGTTTTTCCTTGTACTAGTTCTTTCTTATTTCCTTATATCAATGTGACATTAAAAAAAAGCTCTAAAATATTTACAGGGCTAGAGACATGGTCAACATCTTAAAACAAACTCATTCCTAGGACCAAAGTCAAAGTTTTGAAAACTTGCAGTAATTTCCACTATAAGAAGTTCCAAGGGTCTAACCTTCTTTTGAAGCAGAATACACATGTGCAAGTACAGACTGACAATATGTAATTAAAATTAAAACAAATCTTTAACTAATTTTTACTTATGAATGTTTTTCTCTTGTAATTCTAGTCAAAAAGGTCTTGAGGCATCTGAAGGCTTATAGAGTTTCTCTCCATCGTGTATTGGTTCATGTAACAGAAAGCAAGCATGTAGGCTTGACATCAGCGAAATCAATCATTCTCAGTCTATGGTATTACTGGGGAAAATTTAGGAAATATTGTCCTGCTGGATGAAATATGTCACTGGGGGTTGGCCTGAGTGTGTGCAATTTCCAATTTACATTTTATGATTTATGTGGCAGATTAAGGATGTGAATTTTCAGTTTCCTACTTTAGCTGCCATGTCTGACACTTGTATCCATGCCACTTCCATGCTGATCCTGTATTGCTCTGGAGCCAAGGGCAAATTAAACACTTTTTTATGTTCACAATGACATGATGTCATATCACAGCAACAGAAATGAATTAGTACACATTCATGAAGTTTTAATTCTAAATTAGAAGTATAAATTCTAAAAGAGTTACCATATCATTTAAATTCTTTTGATCCTTAGTCCTTTTGATCATGTCAATTTGCAGGTATAAACCAAATAGAGAGTTATATCATAATGCTTGAAGAGATCTTTGACACCTGTGAGATTTTTCTCTCAAGAAAAAATTGTGTAAGTGAATGTAAGTGTGTTGGCTGAAGATTTCACAAAATCCTTTATAGTCACATTTCCTTTGGTATGAGTTTGTTTTAGATCCTCAAAATCTAATGTTATATTCACAGACTTTAAAATACCAATTACATTATAATAGTATTACTCTTGTAAAATTACTTTCCAGTATGTGTTCTTTAATGTATTTTAAGATTATTGTGGTGTGCAAAGGGCTTTGCCACATTGATTACATTCATAGGGTTTCTCTCCAGTATGTGTTCTTTCATGACTTGGAAGATGATTGTGACACACAAAGGCTTTACTACATTGATTACATGCATATGGTTTCTCTCTAGTATGTGTTCTTTCATGACTTTTAAGAACAGTTTTGATAAAAGACTTTACCACATTGGTTACATTCATAGGATTTCTTTCCAGTATGTGTTCTTGTATGCCTATGAAGATGAGTGTGAAATGCAAAGGCTTTAATACATTGGCTGCATTCAAAGGGTGTCTCTCCAGTATGTGTTCTTTTAAGCAATTGAAGATAACTGTAAAAAGGAAAGGCTTTACCACATTGGTTACATTAAAACAGTTTCTCTCCAGTATGTGTTCTTTCATGTCTTTGAAGATGACTGTGATGTATAAAGGCTTTACTATATTGATTACATTCAGAGGATTTCTCTTCAGTATGTGTCCTTTCATGACTTTGAAGAACACTGTTTTGAGAAAAGGCTTTACCACATTGTTAACATTCAAAGGTTTCTCTCTGGTATGCGTTTTTTTAGGCCTTTGAAGAGGACTGTGATGTACAAAGGCTTTATTACATTGGTTACATTCATAGAGTTTCTCTCCAGTAAGTGTTCTTTCATGACTTTGAAGAACATTGTTTTGAGAAAATGCTTTACCACACTGATTACATTCATAGGGTTTCTCTAGTATGTGTTCTTTTATGCCTTTGAAGATGACTATGACGTACAAAGGCTTTACTACATTGATTACATTCATAGGGTTTCTCTCCAGTATGTGTTCTTTCATGACTTTGAAGAACACTGTTTTGAGAAAAGGCTTTACCACACTGGTGACATTCATAGGGTTTCTCTCCAGTATGTGTTCTTGTATGCCTTTGAAGATGACTATGTCGTAAAAAGGCTTTACTACATTGATTGCACTCAAAGGGTTTCTTTCCAGTATGTGTTCTTTCATGACTTTGAAGATCACTGTTTTGAGCAAAGGCTTTACCACATTGGTAACATTCAAAGGGTGTATCTCCAGTATGTGTTCTTTCATGCCTTTGAAGATGACTATGATGTGTAAAGGCTTTAGTACATTGATTACATTCATATGGTTTCTCTCCTGTATGTGTTTTTTCATGACTTTGAAGAACACTCTTTTGAGCAAAGGCTTTACCACATTGGCTACATTCATAGGGTTTCTCTCCAGTATGTGTTCTTTTATGCCTTCGAAGATGACTGTGACGTACAAAGGTTTTACTACATTGGTTACATGCGTATGGTTTCTCTCCAGTATGTGTTCTTTCATGACTTTGAAGAACACTGTTTTCAGCAAAGGCTTTACCACACTGATTACATTCATAGGGTTTCTCTCCAGTATGTGTTCTTTTATGCCTTTGAAGATGACTGTGACGTACAAAGGCTTTACTACACACACTACATTCATATGATTTTTCTCCAGTATGTATTCTTTCATGACTTTGAAGAACACTGTTTTGAGCAAAGGTTTTTCCACACTGATTACATTCATAGGGTTTCTCTCCAGTATGTGTTCTTTTATGCCTTTGAAGATGACTGTGACGTGCAAAGGCTTTACTACATTGGTTACATTCATATGATTTCTCTCCTGTATGTGTTCTTTCATGACTTTGAAGAACACTGTTTTGAGAAAAGGCTTTACCACATTCCTTACATTCATAGGGTTTCTCTCCAGTATGTGTTCTTTTATGCCTTTGAAGATGACTGTAATGTGCAAAGGCTTTATTACATTGATTACATTCATAGGGTTTCTCTCCAGTATGTGTTCTTTTATGACTTTGAAGAACACTGTTTTGAGAAAAGGCTTTACCACACTCCTTACATTCAAAGGGTTTCTCTCTAGAATGTGTTCTTTTATGCCTTTGAAGATGACTATGACGTACAAAGGCTTTACTACATTGATTACATTCATAGGGTTTCTCTCCTGTATGTGTTCTTTCATGACTTTGAAGAACACTGTTTTGAGCAAAGGTTTTACCACATTCCTTACATTCAAAGGGTTTCTCTCTAGTATGTGTTCTTTTATGCCTTTGAAGATGACTATGACGTAAAAAGGCTTTACTACATTGATTACATTCATAGGGTTTCTCTCCTGTATGTGTTCTTTCATGACTTTGAAGAACACTGTTTTGAGCAAAGGTTTTACCACATTCCTTACATTCAAAGGGTTTCTCTCTAATATGTGTTCTTTTATGCCTTTGAAGATGACTATGACGTAAAAAGGCTTTACTACATTGATTACATTCATGTGGTTTCTCTCCTGTATGTGTTCTTTCATGACTATGAAGAACACTGTTTTGAGCAAAGGTTTTACCACACTGGTTACATTCATAGGGTTTCTCTCCACTATGTGTTCTTGTATGCCTTTGAAGATGACTGTGACGTACAAAGGCCTTACTACATTGGTTACATGCATACGGTTTCTCTCCAGTATGTGTTGTTTCATCACTTTGAAGAACACTGTTTTGATCAAAAGCTTCACCATATTCCTTACATTCATAGGGTTTCTCACCAGTATGTGTTCTTTCATCACTTTGAAGAACACTGTTTTGATCAAAAGCTTCACCATATTCCTTACACTCATAGCGTTTCTCTCCAGTATGTGTTCTTTCATCACTTTGAAGAACACTGTTTTGATCAAAAGCTTTATCATATTCCTTATATTCATAGGGTTTCTCTCCAGTATGTGTTCTTTCATCACTTTGAATAACACTGTTTTTATCAAAAGCTTTACCATATTCCTTACATTCACAGAGTTTCTCTCCAGTATGTGTTTTTTCATCACTTTGAAGAACACCATTTTGATCAAAAGCTTTACCATATTCCTTACATTCATAAGTTTTCTCACCAGTATGTGTTCTTTCATCACTTTGAAAAACACTGTTTTGATCAAAAGCTTTACCATATTCCTTACATTCATAGGGTTTCTCTCCAGTATGTGTTCTTTTATCACTTTGAAGAACATCGTTTTGATCAAAAGCTTTACCATATTCCTTACATTCATAGGGTTTCTCTCCAGTATGTGTTCTTTCATCACTTTGAAGAACACCATTTTGATCAAAAGCTTTACCATATTCCTTACATTCATAAGTTTTCTCACCAGTATGTGTTCTTTCATCACTTTGAAAAACACTGTTTTGATCAAAAGCTTTACCATATTCCTTACATTCATAGGGTTTCTCACCAGTATGTGTTCTTTCATCACTTTGAAGAACATCGTTTTGATCAAAAGCTTTACCATATTCCTTACATTCATAGGGTTTCTCTCCAGTATGTGTTCTTTCATCACTTTGAAGAACACCATTTTGATCAAAAGCTTTACCATATTCCTTACATTCATAAGTTTTCTCACCAGTATGTGTTCTTTCATCACTTTGAAAAACACTGTTTTGATCAAAAGCTTTACCATATTCCTTACATTCATAGGGTTTCTCACCAGTATGTGTTCTTTCATCACTTTGAAGAACATCATTTTGTTCAAAAGCTTTACCATATTCCTTACATTCATAGGGTTTCTCTCCAGTATGTGTTCTTTCATCACTTTGAAGAACACCATTTTGATCAAAAGCTTTACCAAAGTTCTTACATTCATAGGGTTTCTCACCAGTATGTGTTCTTTCATCACTTTGAAGAACACTATTTTCATCAAAAGCTTTACCATATTCCTTACATCCATAGGGTTTCTCACCAGTATGTGTTCTTTCATCACTTTGAAGAACACTGTTTTCATCAAAAGCTTTACCATATTCCTTACATTCATAGGGTTTCTCACCAGTATATGTTCTTTCATCACTTTGAAGAACACTGTTTTGGTCGAAAGCTTTATCATATTCCTTACATTCATATGGTTTCTCTCCAGTATGTGTTCTTTCATTCCTGCAAGGATAATTTGATAATGTAAAAGCTTTACCACAGTCAATACATGGTTACATAATTATTTCTGTATGAATAAATTTTATAATTTGCTGTACATGTAAAGAGGAATCAGATCATAAGTCTTTGTCTCTTTGCTTACACTTTTGCTGTTCCCCTTAATTAAGAAATATTTTGCACATAGATGCCTGTGCTGTTAAGAGCCTTCATTATATGACTCACTTTTATGTAATCTTTTTTCTCAATGAGATTTTTTACATAGATAAAAAGAACTGGAGGAATTCAGACCATTATCACACTTATTTCATAATTACATTTTCCTATACTGGGAATCCTACTACATTTGCAAAATGAACCAGGACAGACAGAAGATTACACATTCTCACTACTCACAGAGCTTTTCTTCAATTTGTTTACTGATGTATTCCCAATTATGCTGGAAAACCAATTACATGTAAACTTGAATCACATTAAGTTTGTCTACTCAACATGGCACTACTACAGAAATTTTAATTGTTCTGAGATAGAAATGGATACATTGTTTCTTTCTATATCCCTATGTTCTTATGGCTTGTATACAGAGTGACACATGATATACCTAGTAAATGAAGAATAACAAATAAAGCATATGTATAATACCTCCACACAGCTTGACATTTTGTTCCTCACAGATATGTGGTATAGAGTTTAAGCCTTCTCCACAACAATCCCCCCTTAACTCTTGACTCTAACAACCCAACTCACTAAACTTAGCAGAGTCAGAACAACTAGAGAGTAACACTGGCTTTACCATGGACTATTTGTTTATTAGAAAGTTTTTGGACATTCACTTAACACAAATTCAATGTGTAGACCTTTGGTAATATGAGTGATATGAAACTAAATGAAGCAACAATTCCACAGCATAGCTCTGACAGATCTATGATTCAAATGCTGATTTCTGTTAAGGTATTGATTCATTTTATTCCTTCTACAAAGAATGACCTACCATACAATTCACTTAATGATCTTTCAGGTATATGGATAGTGAACATTTAATGGCCATGAATGTATTTTGAGCTGTGATTACTTACACTGCTGCATTTGTTTACAACTTCAAGATACATTAAAATATACTCAGGAGAACATTTGTATCAGCTTGTACATGAAAATTACCTTTCATGACTTTGAAAACTTTGACAACGTTCTTCAAATTCAAAATCTTCCCAAGTGTATCCTAAAATACAGGATGAGGAAATGTATGAAATATTACAGGAAATTGGGCAAAATTTGAGTTTCTATCTTCAGTGATCCTTAAAACCATGCCTGATTTAGTCACCTCACTCTTCCTTATTCTTAATCAGAATTACCAAAAAACATCAATAACTAAGGAACAGTTGTTGCATTTACCTAGACCAGTGAGGTTCATATACGTCTCCAGCATATCATCTTCAATGAGATATTCCTGTGAAGGATCCAGGAATGCCCACTCCTCTTCAGTGAAATTGACACGTACATCATATTTCACGGCATCCTAAAATATGCCATATATAAGTATGCCATACATATGTATAAAACAAAAAGCATGACACTGACAACATTGTAAATGCATGCTTCTTTGACAATGTAGTCATATAATTCTGGTGCTTCCCACACTTACTCTATAACCCAGACATTACAATATAACCATCAACTTATTTTAGAATGATACAGAATAGGAGGTTTACCTATATTATTTCTGAATGCTTTGAACGGGATATTAGCTTGCAAGAGAAATGCCTATTAACAGACATAGAGAGACAATCAAACACATCAGCAGTACTGAGTACACATCAGAGAAATTGTATGAATAATTACTAAGTACAAAAATGATCAGTAAGCTTGGTATATTGGCTCATGCCTTTAATCCCAGAACTCAGAAAGCAGAGGCAGATATATATGCTTTTGAGTTGAAAGTTAGCTTAGTCTATGCAATCAGTTCCTGGACAGAAAAAGTAAATATGAAGAACCTGTCTGCACTGCAAACATCAATGAAATGTACAACAAAGATAGGATACACTCAGAGACTTTTTTTTCTGAACTTGCTTCAAAGAATTAGGCATTCACTCCAGTTCTATATTCATCTTCCAGAAACCTGCATTGCTGCAGTTTAAACTGTACTTTAATAAATCTTACTAAGATGAACTGTTTATTTAAACAGTTACAAATATGCAGATGATAACTTTGGCAATATCACTATTGATTATAAACAATCAACACAGGGCAGGACAAATGACTCAGAAATTAAGAGCTCTTGCTGGTCTTGCAGATAGTTGGGTTCAATTGCCAGTACTTAAATGGGGGATCACACACCTGTTCATTATTCCAAGCTCATGAATTCTAAGACCTTCTTTTGACTACTTTGAGGGTCAGACACATGTGAGGTACATATCAATGTATATAGTAAAGAGAATCATATTTATTAAAAAATCAAAATAAACAGAATAAGCAGAAAGAATGTCACACACCTGTAATTTAATGACTGAGAAGTCCCAGGCACTATTACTGTCAGGAATACTTATGGTGATATTTTATTTATGCTGAAATGTGATTTTATTTGTAGGTTAGTAAATAAAATTGCCTGGGGATCAGAGGTTATAGCCTTTAAGCAGAAATCTGGCAGTGGTGGCACATGCCCTTAATCCAATCACATGGCAGGCAAAGTCTGTGTATTCAAGGACATAGCATGGTCGTACACACCTTTAAACTAAGTACCAACCATAGAGACCTGGAGGTCTGTATAGACAGGCAGTGACAAGAAAGTTGCGTGGTTGGGTTGAGAGCCAATGAGAAGGCAGAAGAGAAAGGCAATAAAAATGCAGACACAGAGGAAGTAGGTCTCTCTCTCTCTCAGCGGTAGGACAGCAGCAGCAGGAGTGGTGAGAAGGTGGTCTTAGCTCTTGGCTAATGCTCTCTGATCTCTGCACTTTTAATTCTGCATTTGGCTCTCTGTTTCTTATTTAATAAGACCATTTAGAATTACATCTACAAATACTGCCATCCTGGGAAACAGAATGAAATCCTCTGGCAAATTTCAAAATTCAAGCTGGGCGTAAAGCTCAGCAAAACAGCACATGCTTGACATATACAAAAATGTTGACAGTAGACCCATCACCAATAGTATATATATATATATATATATATATATATATATATATATATATATATATATATATATATATATATATATATACACACACACACACACACATGGAATGTTGGCCAAACTTTAATCTTAGCAAGTTGGAGAAAGAGTCAGATGAATCTCTGAATTCTAGGCCAGCCTTGTGAACAGAAATATGTTTAGGACAGTCAGGGCTACCCAGACAAAGTTTGTCACCAGAAACAAACAAACAAACAACAAAAAAAAACCCAGCAAAATTAAAAAAAATCAGGATAGTAAAAATGGCTTAGCATTGAATACCAATTTGTTCAATTGTATCTGATATGATTTAGTAATACCATAAATAATGGTGGTGAAGCCATGACAGCACAAGAAGGAAGTTGCCTGATTCATTTCATACACAACATAGTAGAAACATAGAAAAGGAAATGAGTTGAGGCTATAAAAACACATATCATACCCTCCAATCAGATATTTTATCTAGAGAGGTTCCTTCTACTTAAGGTTCCACAAACACCCCTCCAAAAAAAGCTGACAAGGAGAGACACATGTTGAAATACCTCATACTATGTGGGAGCTTTTCATTCACTTGACTAGATTCTGACCTAGGTTATATAGGCTCAGGATTATCCATGAAGGATATGCATTTAGTCACCTCAATGATACTCATTGTCTGCAACAGCAGCTACACTGTTCAAATGTCCAAAGTCTCTTTTGACATTCAAGACAAATTCTTGACTGTGTCATCTTATAAAATCAGAAAACAATTTAAATCTTTGCAACATATAAATGGCACCGAAAACCCATTCCCATTCCACAGGAGAGGAACTGAGACAGTGAGGAAAAATTGTAAAAAGGGAAGAATGAAACCAAGCAGGGCAACCATTAAATCTAGTAATACTGAGTCAGAACATGGGGCTCCATTTTCAAAGGGCTTAGAGGGCTCTCATCCCACAACTTCCCATACAAATCTCTCTTTGGTTACTTCCACTCCATATATGCAGCTGTCCATGAAAGATGTCTCATAACTTAACTATCTGAACACTTATTGTCTCAAAATGCAACCCAGGCTTCATCCTCATAGTATCCTGCAATGAACTCTCACAGCCTTCTCACTGGGGATCTTACCATACCAAACACAGATGCCTACAACAGTGCTGACCTGAAAACCTAGGCTAACAATGTATGATATTAAATTTTACATCATTCTGGTTTCCAGAACCAGTTCAACATCAATGATTCCTCCAATTTGGCTTCTAAGTTCTGATGGTTCCCTACCATGCTTGACTCATATGAAGTTCCTTCCTGGGAGTGGGAATCACTTTGTCTAACCCCTCTCTTAACTGACAGCACAGAAGGATGGCTTCTTACCCTTAGGGCAACTTGCTAGGCTTCCAATGTAGAGTAAAGGCCTTCTTTTCAGTGTTGATAATCTTCCTGAAAATTCCTGTCTCTGTTCAGCATTTGACTGTCATCTGAAAATGAATAGTCCTATTTTTCTCTACAACCCATAGACTTTTCATACATTTATAGTTCACTTTTTGATTTTTTTCCACTGTAGTCCTGAATGAATCATAAGTAATAGCCATCAAAGAGAGTAAATATTCCACCTAAGAAATCAGCCCTATTTTTTTAAAATTCTGCCTTACTCAATTTCTTTGGGACATGGCATAATAAGAAAGATTAGTTGCCAAAATATCACACAAATTCCCACTGAAATCTTTTGTCCTCTACCTACACTGTTCACAGTACCTTCAACAGTACTATATTCCAAGTACTACAAGAATAACCAATTAATCACTGTGTGCAGCTTTTCTCATCTAAATTTTGTTATCTTCAACATTCCTTCAAAAGTCATCATTGTCAGTCCATTGAATGACAAAAATCACTTTTGGTTTAGCACATTCTGTTTTAACTTGCTTTTTTCTTGCTCTGATTCAATTCTCTAAACAAAAGCAACTCAGGTAAAGAATGTGCTTATTTGGCTCATTCTGCCAGATCACAATCCATAATTGTGATGGAGCTTAGGATACAAATTCAATCTAGCAACTGAAGGAAAAAACCATGAGGAATCTTCATTTCCTGGCTTTCTCTCTTACATGGTCACTGTTTTATGCTTGGTTTACTCTGTTACCCAGTGCAGGCCAACTTTCTAACAGATATTGCACACTCAGTGGAAGGGCAATCACCCATCAATCATCAATCAACAAAATCTCTCAAAGACTTAGCAACCAGCCATGGGGCACATCCTCAACTGATGTTCACAAATGTGACTGTAGAATCTGAATTGTTGACATCTGGAAGTAATTAGGACACAAAGACTGTAATATATGAGAAGATTTGACAGACAAAAAACAATGTATCAACTACATTAATAACCTAGATAACAAAAATGCAAATATTGATGATAATAACAAATAGAAACACAGATATGCTTAAAAAATGGAGAAATACTGGTTTCTAAAAGCAAGAAAAGGAAACTAAAATTTGTTTCTCCACAGAAAGTCACCAAACCAATAAATTGAAGGAACTCCTAACATAATGTATTAGTTTTCCAGAAAATAAAAATAGGTGAAGGTTCCTCATTTTCCAGATAAACAATGTAACTAGATTATAGCTAATAAAAATAATCATAGAACATAGATAGTACCACTGATAAAAGGAGACAGAAAGCAGATATACAAATACAATATTGTCACTTGAACAAGAAATATTACATTCTAATGAAAATCAAAATCAAAGAAAACACTGACCACCACTCACCCTGTTCACTCCAGTTATTTCCCCCAATAATAGAAAATTGGTTGGGTTAGAAGGACTCTTCCAACTAAATTAGATAGATTTCCTTGGAGCCTGATATTTCTACACTGTTGAAAATAGTTTTGGCTACTAAAATTATCTCATTCTCTTTTGATAAAGAAAAGGATATCTATTAGATCATTTAGAAACAATTTTCTTTCCTATGATTGAAGATTGAATGTAAGTCTGAATCAGAGTGAGAAAACAGAATATTTTCAATACAAATGAAAGATAATAGCTTTTCAAATAAATATTGTATGATTTCTATTATATACCTAAAGCAACCCAATTTCCTCTAACTGTTTTACAAGTCATAAGGGCTTTTGCAAATGAATCTAGCCACATTTTATGTATATATTTGTATGCATAAAAAAGCATATTTTCCATGTGTATAGGTGACACAGCAAAGAACATATCAGATCCCCTGGATCTGGGGATATCAGATAGTTATTAGCCTCCCAAATTGGGTGCTGGTATCTGAAGTCCCCCAAGAAGAATATTGCTGAGTGACGTGCACAGCCCACATAGTACTTTTTATCCAGTAAATTAAAAGTCCTTTACAGATTAACCAC